TCCTCCTCCTCCTCCTCCTCCCCCTCTTCCTCTTCCTCCCCCTCCTTAGCCTCCTCCTCCTCCGCCTCCCGCTTGCCCTGGGGTGGCCTGGTGGGTGGTGCCCGGTGGCCGCCCCGTGGCCGCCCGCCGCCGCCCCGACGCCGCCCCCGAGGGCGCCCCCCGGTGGCCGCCCCGTGGCCGCCCGCCGTCGCCTCGCGGCCGCCTCGTGCGCTGGGCGGCGCTGCAGACGGCGACGACGGCGACGATGACGACGACGACGACGACGGCGACGACGACGACGACGACGGCGACGACGACGACGACGACGGCGGCGGCGACGACGACGACGAAGACGACAACGACGACGACGACGGCGGCGGCGACGACGACGACGACGACGACGGCGGCGGCGACGACGACGACGACGACGACGACGGCGACGACGACGGCGACGACGACGACGACGACGACGATCGCCGCCTTGGCGGCCGCCCGTCGCCACATCGTCGCCACCTCGTGGCCGCCTCGTGCGCTGGCTGCACCCGCTCCACCACACAGGCTGCCCCGCGTAGCTTGCGCACCACGTAGCTTGCACCACGCAGGCTCCACCACCGGAAGAAGAAAAAAACACATAAACATAGACGTGCGGCGCTCCGCGCGGAGAGCCAAAAGCTTATGATGTGGTTCTTCGAACCACACAGCTTGCACCACATAGATTTGCGCAGCATTGCTTCCACGACATAGTTTGTACGACGTTACTGCCGCGAAGTAGCTTGCACATTGCACATCCGGTGCTTAAACTTACTGTTCGGGGCCCATGCTGGCAAACATGCATACTAGATGTAAACATGTGCTGGAAGTAGTGCGCAGTCGGAAGCTCCAATTGAAGCAGTTGTTTGTTCGTTTTGTCTTGGGTTTTGAATACAGTGGATATTACCAAGATCGTCCGACTGCGAACTTGTACTCAACACGATCTCGACAACACCCCCGCGATCTTTTCGATCAACGCTCTCTCGCGGTGTCGAACTCAAAATTCCGCAAAATCCAGAAAGAAATACAATTGAAAAAAGGAACAAAAAGAAAAGAAAAAAAAAAAACAAAAAAAAAGTCCACCAAAAAAAAACAAAAAAAAATCCAACACCATATAAAAATAAAACATAAAAATCCAACCTCCTCCAAAATTCCAAAAAAAAAAAAATACCCAAAAAAATAGCCAGGAGCGCTATGCAACGTTGCCGTGCTCTGCAGCTGGGGCCCGCCGCCGCCGCGCGCCGCGGCTCGCCCGCGACGACGACTCCCTCCGGCTGACCTGCTGTCCGGTTGACCGGCGCGCCCAGCACCCGCGGCCACGACCGATGCGAACGAAGGGGCCCAGCCCCAACGCGCGCTCGGCCCCGGCCGAGACCTACTTGGCCGCCAGGGGGTACTTGGCGAGCGTGTCGGCCGCGGTCTTCAGGCCGGCGTCCTGCGCAGCGTGCACCTCGGGCCCCGGGTAGTTGACCTGCTCTCCCGGCCCGGGCAGCGTGCCGAACTGGTCGCCCGCGGCATGCCCGCAGTCCTGCGCCGCGTGGCGCTGGAAGGGCAGCGGCTTGGCCCAGCCCTTGATCCTGGCAGAGATGGACCGCATGCGCTCCGTGGCGGAGGCACCGACGCCGCCGCAGTCGTCCCAGGCCGCACGGTAGCCGGGCGGCCTGGCCGGGGTCCCGTCCTGCGCGGAGACGGCAAAATTGTTGTCGTTGTTCAGCTCGCCGGCCTCCGCCGTGACGATCGGCTGCTCGAGTGCGCCGCGGCGCAGACTGGCGCTCGCGCGCGAGGCCACCACTGCTGACAGGAGGAGGGCAACGAGGGCACCAGACTTCATTCTGAGGCGGGCGGCGAGGACCTTGCGGCTGATCGCACTGGTCGCCTCCAGGCGGCTGACTGCACGCGATGGCTTTTGAGACGAAATGCCACGGATCAGAGCCAGCACACATAATGCATGGTGAAGACGGTGCTATGTGTCAGCGCGTCATACACTGAGCAGGTCAGGTCGACATCGCAGGCTGTGAGTGCAAGGTAGTGAAGCAAGTTGGACGTACACTACATGGGCGCGTTTCACTGCCAGGCCAGGGGCACATGCCACCCAACACGGTCAACCCAAAGAGTGAACTACACATGAGGGCCACCAGGGTGCCACGAAAGGGCCGTGGGGGGGGGGGGGCAGGGCGCCACGGGGCCATGTGAGCAGCCGAGTCGACTCCTGAGCCCCGCTCTTCACACAGCGTTCGCCTACTACCACAACGAACGCAAGGTGAGGAGCAAAGGCGCCCTTTTGATCCACAGGGCGCCTGGATGCACGAGGAGCGCTGGACAGCGAGCCCCTCTTCGAACCCGAGCAGGCCCTGATCTCAACGTCTTTGGCTGCACACGGCCATAGGCCACGAGCCAACCAGGCAGACTCCCCAGAGCCACGAGGGAGCCACGCGGCCACGAGCAACCGAGTCGACTCTTGATCCGCACCCTGCACAAGAGGTCCAAGAAGCGCTGCGGGACCACATGCCACGAAGCACCAGAACAGACTCTCGACGGCGGGAAGGGGCCACAGAGCAGCAAGAGCCACGAGGGGCAACGGGGCCTCGAGGCAATTGAAGAAACTCTCGAGGGCCACGAAGGGCGCAAGGGATCACGAGCAGCCGAATCGAGATCGCGACCCCTTCCCGCGCGAAGGCCCCAAGAGGGGGCCGCGAGCCAACGACTCGGCTCGTGAGCCCCGCCCTACGCATGAAGGCCACAGGGCTTCACGAGGCCAAGGGGCCGCGAGCAACCGAATCGCCTCGTGACCCCCAGCCTACGAGCCAGGCGCCACGGAGGACCACGGCGCCACTGGCCGCGAGCAACCGAAGCAGTTCTTTTCAGCTCTTGAGCCTCACCCCGCACGCGAGGGCTGCGAGGGACCACAGGCCACGAGCAATCGAATCGATCTGACGACGACGATGTTCAGGCTTACTACGCTGCCTGGGGAACCTGACTCTGCTGATACACGCCTCGCATCTCGAACTGATGCTCGCCTCGGGCATTGTGCTACCGCCTATCATCCAGCGAGCCGTCACGCACGGGCTGGCAGGCCCAAATCGTACACCTGGTTCGATGTACGTTGCCTGCCCCACTCCGTCGCTGCTGCCACGCGTGGGCTCTCGGATAACAATGACACTGGCCATTAACAGGTTTTAACGATGATGGCGCTGATGGCGCCAACATTGTAGGCGAAGGTGAATGTTATGACAACGGCGGCGCAGACACCGATGAACATCGTCATCATGGTAGCGATCAGCATCACGATCATCAGATCCCATTCGGCATCGTCATCGTGGGCATCCACACTATCGCCATCGTAATCGACGTCGTGGCTCCACGGTGCAGATCACGATGGTTAGCCTGTCCTTCTGTCTGACAGGGTTCTGCCTGTCTCTGTCAAGATTCATGCCTGGCTGCAGGGGCCTGTTCAGCTGCCCTAATTCCGCTCGCGCCTGCACGCGACCCTCGGGCCAGGACTGCCCCAGTCCTACGCTTCGAGACTACAGCTCATGGTACCTCGGGATAACTGGCACAACTTGCCTCTACCCCGCACCAATGTCACGATGAATTGATGGACACCCTGCACCTTCCCCACAGCTGTGCACTTCGCGCCACACAAGAAACCCCTGGCTGCCCAGCCGAGCTCATACAGACCTCGCGGCTGCATGCTCGGAGGGTCGCCCCCCGCCTTCTCCAAAAAAGCTCGCTGGACTTACTCACGCCGGTGCCGCGCACTCCTGAGCAAAGAACGGCCAATGACCTAGGGCTCCCAACTTCGCGCTTCGCGCTGCGCGAAGCGCGAAGCGCGAATAACTTCGCGCTCTCGCGCCGCCCTCCCAAAGGGAGAATAGGAGGACGAGGAGGAGGAGGAGAAGGAACGAGGACCGCGAAGCGCGAAGCGCGAATAACTTCGCGCCCTCGAGGGAGCCCTTGTTGATACGACTGCAACCCGCGGCGTGCTCAGAACAGGGGTGGGCACGGCAGGCGCCCCCGAAATGCCATTTCACCCCCCGGCGGGTCCTGTATCACCTTCATCGTCTGGGGACATCGCGCACAATTCACCAAGTGCTTTTTCCCATTCTCCACGAGCTTGAAATCGGTCCAAATACCCTTGGCGCTCGCGGAGAGACATTGGCAAGGACGGAAGACGGTACCGAGAAGGAAAAGAAGCGATGCTTTCTAGGGTGTACGTGCTGTCAGCTTCCGATTGTAGACCTCCAAAGATGTTTGCTCGGCAGAGAAACAGATCTTAGAGCAGGACAACCGAGGTCTGTTGAGGGAGTGGATTGTGATAGCGCGCGACAGTACTCACAACATGTTGGAGTACGCATGACGCCACGAAGACATGTCACAACTCCCTGTGGGCATGAACTACTACGGCAAGCTTTTTCTGCAGACGACGCGGGCCCTGGACGCAAGATCGCCCATGACGAGACAACAAGACGGCCCAGCGTCACCACGACAGAACTGCTGGCCGGCAAAGATGGAGCAAAAGGGTACCTATACGACCACCCTTCGGGTGATAAGGAGGTTCGGGGGGGAGGAACTAACGTCTCACTCGATCGGTCTCACTATCGATCTCACTATCGATCTCACTATCGGTCTCGCTCGATCGATCTCACTCGATCGATCTCACAATCGATATCACTATCTATTTCATTCGATCGATCTCACAATCGATCTGACTACCGATCTCACAATCGATCTCACGATCGATCTCACAATCGATCGCACAATCGATCTCACATTCGGTCCCACGAACGATCTCACTAACGATACCACATTCGATTTCACAATCAACGTCTTCATCATCATCATCATCAACATCCTCGTCATCAACGTCATCAACATCATCATCATCATCATCATCATCATCATCATCATCATCATCATCATCATCATCATCGGGACACCATCATCATCATCACCTCATCACCATCATCATCAACATCATCATCATCATCATC